TAGTTTACATGAGAGGACTTTAGTTTTACATTCATTCCATCGTATATCATTTCATTGCCATGGTTCCAATCCCCTCCATGCGTCATCCACTGACCAAAGGGCATATCCCAGAAACCCGCCCCCGCACTTCCTCCTCCCTGTCCAGTCTTCGGCCCCCAGTCCCTCTCTCTCTCTGGATCCAAAGTCCCCAGCCGCTTCATCACTCCAAGTCATCGTCTCTGTCTCCATCCCAGGCATCTCTGCTTCTCTGGATAGGGTCCCGCTCTCCGCTTTTCTCTGTTAATGGTCCCAGAGACCTGCTCTCCTAGACTGGAGAAATAATCACTTCCTTCCTAGCTACAAATCGTCCACCTCTGCGTTTCCAACCCTCATAATCAGTCCCGATAACCATTATTCACTACAGTATCACGAGTTACCCATCTGTATTTCATTTCATCAGCTCTGCCTAGACAGATTGGATAGTACTCACTGGTGATTCTGCCTTTCTCCATGCCCCCCACGCTCTAGGTTCCCTCTTGAAAGCTTGTAAGCCAGTCACTTCTTGCCTTTGTAGTCCCCCCCTCCCCATTTGGGTATCCAATGTCCAAGTTGCCCATATCTGTCTACTCTGTGTCTGGAGGGGGTGGGAATGTTTCTTGCTGTAAGGATTTGTTGCTTCTTTTGAGACACTGCATTCGTAGGTGTTGGTCAGGTTCATCAGATTGTGTCAGCTCAGTCTTTTTTTTTTTTCCCCTCTTCTTCTCCTGGTTGAGCTCTGATCATCCAGAGTCATCTGGTTCACGTCACGTGGGTACCATCTGCAAGTGTGGTGTTCTTGTGCACATTCCCTCTCTTCCCATCAGCCAGTAGCTCGACTCTCCACTCGAGTCCTCCGTGGCCACGCCACTGACTCTGGGCCCAGGAGTCCCCAGGTCTCCCCACACTGCTTGCCAACCAGGCCCCCAGAAGCCTACTGAATATTGTAAGGCTTAGCTTACTGCTTCATTGCTGCTTTTACCCCGCTTCCCCCTATCGGTGATGTGTGTGGTCACCAATCAGAGCACGTATTTCTGTTGAGTCTTAGTCTTGGAAGGGGGTTTGTGTTGAGAGGACCCGACCACTTGCCTTGATGTTCCCTAGGGAAGCGATTTGTTTGCTCTTGTAGTAACAGTCCATCTGCCTTTATTGTTTTGTATTTTTCCTGTAGGTCTTTCATTCAAGAAGTATCTTTTGTTCTTCCATCCATATTCTCTTGATGCTTTCTGCATCATTCAATAATTTGCCCAGAGACTCTTTCAGTAAAGAAAGTCGAGGCTTGAATTTTTTCTTCAGTTCCCCCAGCTTAAGAAATGATGAGCGTGTTCTTCCTTTTTGGTTTTCTGATTCCAGATCTTTGCACACTTAGTTGTAATATTTGGCTTTATCCTCTCAAGCTGATCTTTGAAATTTTCTGTTCAGCTCTTGGACCTCCTCATTTCTTCAATTTGCTTTAGCATCTTTATGCTGGAGAGCAAGTTTCAGGGCCTCTTCTGACATCCATTTTGACCTTTTCCTTCTTTCTTATCTTCTCAGTGACTTTTTGTGTATGATGTTCTTGTTGTCATCCGACAACACTTCTGGTTTTCAGTCATTAGTGTTTAATATATTAAATCTGTTCTTCAGATGATCTCTAAATTCAGGTGGGATAATTCAAGGTCATATTTTTGCTCTTGTGGACTTGTTTTCATTTTCTTCTTCTTCAATTTGAATTTGCATATGAGTAATTGATGGTCTAGTCAACAGTCTGCCCTTAGCCTTGTTTTGACTGATGATATGGAGCTTTTCTATCGTCTCTTTCCGCAGGTGTAGTCAATTTGATTTCTGTGTATTCCATCTGGTGAGGTCCATGTGTATAGTCATCTCTTATGACTGTCTAAAGAAGGTATTTGAAATGAACAAATCGTTGGTTTTGCAGAATTCTATCATGTGATCTCCAGCATCATTTCTATCATGAAGGCCATATTTTCCAACTACTGATCATTCCTCTTTGCTCCCAACTTTTGCATTCCAATCACCAGTAATGATCAATATATCTTGATTGCATGTTTGATCAATTTCAGATAGAAGAAGTTGGTAGACTTCTATTTCATCCTCACTGGCTTTAGTGGTTGGTGCATAAATTTGAATAAAAGTGGTATTAACTGGGTTTCCCTGTAGGCGCATGGATATTATCCTATCGCAGACAGTGTTGTACCTCATGACTGATCTGGATATGTTCTTTTTGACAATGAATGCAACCCCAATCCTCTCCAATTTGTCATTCCCGGCATAGTAAACCATGTGGTTTTCAGATTCAAAATGGCCAATACCAGTCCATTTCAGCTCACTAATGCCTAAGATACAATGTTTATGCGTTCTGTTTCATTTTTGACAATTTCCAGTTTTCCTAGATTCATAATTCATACATTCCATATTCTGATTTTCATTGGATGTTTACAGCTCTTTCTGTTCATTTTGAGTTATGCCCCATCAGCAAATAACGGTTCCGTGGGCTTTTTTCCATGGGCTTTATTCCATTCGCATCATCCTGGTCAACTCTACTTGGAGGAGGCAGCTCTTCCCCAGTCTCATTTTCAGTGCCTTCCAACCTGAGGGGCTCATTTTCTGGCATTATATCTGACAGTGTTTCTCTGCTGTTCATAAAGTTTTCTGTGACTAAATATTCGAAAGTAGTTCGTCACTCTTTCTTCCTAGTCTGTCTTTGTCTGGAAGCTCATCTGAAACCTGTCCACCATGGGTGACCCTGCTGGTATTTAAAATACTGGTGGCATAGCTTTCAGAATCACAGCAACTCACAAGTCATCACAGTATGACAAACTGACAGAGGAGTGGTGACCGTTTGGTTTTAAGTGGAAACTGTCACTTTAAATTTTGAGGAGATCTGTGCACATGTGTAGTAGAACCCTCCAGGGGTGGGGGTGGGGTATCCATTCTCTCAGGCTTCCCCTCTAGTCAACAGAATGGAGGTGTGCAGACAGCGAGAGACCAATGAACAGATACCAAAAAAGAATGTCCACATCTTGTATCCGTGTTTCTGTCAGGTGTCCATGCCTGTTCTGAGTCTTCCCCCACTTGGTCTCTCCCAAGATGGAGGCTCTCAGAGGCACTGAGCATCTTGAATTAGAAAGCAATGGATGTCTTAATTATGCTACAAATTCCCCTAGCTTGTAAACCTTCCAATCTTCTAAATATTCCTTTATGTGAGGTTCAGAATTCTGGAACCATCCCAAGCCTACTTGGTCCAGTATTCTGTGTTGTTGGTGATGGAGCGCCTCACTGCACGTCTACCCGATCTGCCATACTAGCTGTTACATAGTTATTGAGTGATCATAATATGCAGGCACTATGCAAGGAAGAATTCACAATATAGATATGATGACAGTTTGGAAGGTAATGTGCATGGAAGTAAAAATAGTGGGACAAAAGGAGTCCTTAGATAACTAGTTATGACCTACATACCACATCTTGTTTTATATTGTATCTTTATACATTTTCTTACCCTGCCTTGAAATACTTGTTTTTTATCATTACTTCTTTGAAGACCATCATTTTCTTTGAGATCCTGCTCAGATTTACTCTTTCCAGAAATTCTTAGCCAAATGACTTCTTACTTGTACATTCTTGCGTATTACACAGTTGTTGTTGTTAAGTGCTGTCGAGTTGGTTCTGACTCATAGGAACCCTTATAGGGTTTGTTGTTGTTAAGTGCCAACAAGTCGATTCCAACCCATAGCAACCCTGTATAGGGTTTCAAGGAACAGCTGGTGAGCTTGAACTGCTGCTAACCTTTGCAATTCAAATGGCTTTGCAATCTGGCACATTAACCCACAACACCACACCAGGCCAGGACGCCTTATAGGGTTTAAGAGACTTTAAATCTTAACTTGGGTGGAATCTTTTGAACTTGATGGTCTGTAAGTTGTTCATAGTTGTTGTTTAGTGCCCCTGAGTCTCTTCTATGCTTGTCTTGTGTTTAGTTTGGTATTCAACAGCATAGGCTGTTTATTCACATAGTTCTGAACCCAGGTCCTAATTGTTACCCTTTGAGCAAGTTCCTTGTACTTTCTTGGGCTAAGTTGCAGAGAGAAATGATAATAATACATAATATTTCTGAGGATTGTTGTGAAAATAGACTGAGATAATGTATCTGGGGATAGGAAAAGAACTAGACTGCTAATCGCTAGATAGGCATTTCAAACCCACCAGCCATTCTAGGAAACCCTACACAAGGCTGCAATAAATCAGTACTAACTAGATGGCATGCAACAGCAGTAACAGTAAATGCTCAATAATCCTCATTACTGCTGTTGTTATCTCCCTTATTAGAGTTGCTTAAAAGTTGATTTAGAAACTCTAAGCGTGATCCATTGTTTAGCCAAAAACCATTTGAGATAACTCATCTTTTTATTCAATTGCTAATTTTATTAATTTAGTACCTAATATGGGTAAAAAAAGTCAGTGGTTAAAGCTCACCAGCTGCTCCTTGGAAACCCTATACAGGGTCACTGTGGGTCAGAATCGACTCAGCAGCACTTAACAACAACAATGGGTAAAAAGGAGCTCTGGTAACGTAGTGGTTATGAATTGGGCTGCTAACCTCAGGGTCAGCAGTTCGAAACTACCAACTGTTCTGCAGGAGAAAGATGAGGCTTTCTGCTCCTGTAAAGATTTACAGCCTCAGAAACCGTGTACAGGGTTGCTATGAGTAGGAACCGACTCCATGGTACTTAACAATAACAACAGTATGGGTAAAAGTGGAGTCCTGATGTGCCATTATTTAATAAGCACTGGACTGCTAATCACTTGCCACTCCTCGGAAACAGGGTCACTCTGAGTCAGAACTGATTTAACAGCAACTTGGGTAAAAATGTAGTTATGTTACTCCATATATATGTATATGTACAGAATATCTCATCTTTGGGAAAGTGAAAGGAACTGGGGTCAGAACTGATTTCAATATTTGGTATATTGTAATAAATGAAGTTTTTAGTTGTTGATTGTAGAGTACTCTGGTAGCATAGTGGTTACGAATTGGGCTGCGAGCTGCAAGGTCAGCAGTTCAAAACTACCAGCTGTTCCGCAGGAGAAAGATGAGGCTTTCTGCTCCCGTAAAGATTTACAGCCTCGGAAACCTTGTACTAGGTCGCTCTGAGTTGGAACCGACTGCACGGCACATAACAACAACAATACTATTCTAGATTATCAGACACTATTAAGATATAGACAGTATACTGGATTTAGGAGTCATTCCCTCCGTTCTTAACTTTCCTGGTACGTGAAAGGTTATTTTATAGGTATTTTTCATTGTCTCACCAATGAACTCGCTTTCTTTATTATGGATAATTGAGATTTAATCTGGCTTCAGTTTCTTTGTTAGTTGCTAATTTTACATATTCCTTTTTTACCCCCCAAATTTTTGTGAATTGAGTGAAGGTTTACAAAGCAGATCATCAGTTTTACATTTAACATATCACATCCTTTGCTTCATTACATAGTTGCAATCCCCCTCATTTCACGTGTTCCTTTGAAACATATGAAATCATTATTTCTTCCTTTCCTCACCTGACTTTTTTTTTGTTACTAGCATTATCTCTTTAAATTATATAGGCCACCTATGTTTTGATGTTGGTTCCAACTCATAACGACCCTCTGTAGGGTTTCTGAGGCTTTTGTAAGCCTTTGCAAGAGCCAAAAGCCTCATCTTTCTCCTACTGAGCAGCTGGTGGGCTTGAATTGCCTACCTTGTGGTTCGCAGTCCAGTGCATATCATACAGAGCTCCCATGCTCCCCAGTCCATTTTGGTTAGAGTCCTCTTAACTACCTTATTCTCCCTTCTTTTATTTTAGAGCCAAGTTTGTTCATTCATTGAGTTGTTTTTATATGCCAGGAATTGTGTTAGAAACTGCAGACCCCCAAATCAATAAAGCATTGTACCTGTTCTTCTGGAGCCTAAATTCTGTTAAAGAAGGGATACATGTAAAATTATATGGTGAGGAGTTCTGGTGTGGTGCTGTAGGATAAGCACTGAGCTGCTAACCTAAAGGTCAGCACTTCAAACTCAACAGCTGCTCTTGGAAACCCTAAACAGGGTTGCTATGAATTGTAAGTGACTCAGTAGTACTTAACAATAACAACAATGGTGAGGATTTGACAAAGTTGAAAAAAGATTATTGAGCAAAAACAGGCCATTTGTATCAAGCTGAAGAGTTTGAACCTAATTTTGTAGGTAACACAGAATAATGGAAGAATTTTAAGCATCATAATCCATTTTATTTTTCATTTATTTAAAAAATAAGATGACTACACATGTATGGTAGAAAATAAAAATAAAAGAACAGAAATAAATGAGAATCCCTTGTAATTACACTATCAACAAATATTTCCTAGTACATTTTGGTTTAGATCATTCAGTATGCTGTGTACCCTGTGTTTTTTGGCAGATACCCATTATTGAATTTATCAGTTCCTTGATTATCAATATTGTTATTTTTAATTATGAAACAATATAAAATTTTCTTGAATTTTTTCCCTGCATTTATTGAAATGATCATGTACTTTTTGTGAGTGTGTTTTTTCCCTTTTGTCTATCAGTGTGTAAAATGCATGAATCTTTTTTTCCTGTGTTAAAACAATGTGGCAGCCATGGAATAAGCCCAATGTTGTGATTTTAGAACATACTAGGTTCCCTTTGCTATGTTTTGTTTAGGATTTTGCATCTTTATTCACGATTGAGGTTGGTCTATAGTTGTTCCTTGTGCAGTTTGTACCACATTCTGTGATATGACAATTTGTTTGTTTGTATTTATTTGACTTTGCATCACATCCCACTGTGTTCCCTTTTGAGAGATGTGATATTTTGCCATGTTATTTTTTACCAGTCAAGATTTAAATTTTTGGTTTAAAATCTTCTGGGATTGTGTTAGTTGGTTTTATTTATCTTGGGTCTTTCTTGAATTCAGTTTATATGTATTTTATGGAGTTAACAGTTTAGTGTTTTTAAAAACTCATTGCTACAAGAATGTTTCTTTGTCTTTAATGAACAGAAGCCGGCAAACTTTAAAAGTCAGAGAACATAATGTGCTGGGACCGTATGTGGATGGACTTTCTAAACTGGCTGTTACAAGTTACAAGGTAAAAACATCTTTTTTGTGAACTACTTAAATTTAATGTAGTAAATATTTTTGTTTATAATTTGTTACATTTTTAAAAAAATAATTATAGTAGCATCACTTAATAAACTACTTAAAAAACTCTTCTACTTAAAGAGATATACAGTGGTTTTGTTGTTGTTAAGTGCCGATGAGTTAGTTCCAACTCATAGAAACCCTGTGTAGGGTTTTTAGGACAGTTTAATTGTGAGAGAAGATGTACATATTTGCTAGACATATCTATTCATCATTTACAAGGCCTCATTTTTTCTCTCTCATGTTTATGATTTCTAAAATTGTGATGTGCCTTACAGTTGTGTTGACCTTTAGTTAGTACCCCTCGTTTTCCAACTTCACAGTTCTGCTCTTCGTGATGATTCCTTTGGGCTTTGTGTGTTGCAGACTGAGGGGTGGCTGGGTGAACTTTGTGATGTTTTATACATTGGACTAAGAGTCAAAGAATGTGTACCTAGTGATACTCCTCTTGTTGCTTATATGACTCTGGATCATTTACTGCACCTCACCTGACTTCTTTGGTCTACCTTTTAAAATGGACATGGATTTTATTTTCTTGACTATCTCATGAGATAGATTCATTTATTCCTTGTTCAATAATTCCTTCATTTAGTAAACAGTTATTGAATATATTTTATGTTCTAGGCACTGCTAGGTCCTGGGGGTATGAAAAAATGAATGAAATGATGCATTCCCTCAAAATACTTATAGATGTTCTGAAGGTATTACAAACCAGCATGGTAGGTGTGTCGTGACATATGTTAAGGAATCATAGTTTGGAGGAGTACTAATGTACTTTGCCGGGCTTAATGTTCATTGACAAACTAAATGCACCTGGCAAATATGGTTGACTAAGCTGTGAAAACTTTAATGTTTTTTTATAATATAGCATAGTTTTACTCTTTATTAGACAGATACTAAAACATATGTAAATTATTTCTATTCAGGATATCGAGTCCTTGATGTCTGAGGGTAACAAATCTCGTACAGTTGCTGCAACCAATATGAATGAGGAAAGTAGCCGATCACATGCAGTCTTCAAAATCACCCTCACACATACTTTGTATGATGTGAAGTCTGGGGTAAGTGTTGAGATGCATGCCCTGATTTTAATGTTTAAAGTGGACCATGGTTTGTCTTACTTACTTAAGACGTTAGATGAATTAAAGTTCTAGCTAGACAGATATGTACTAGTTAGGACTTAGATCCAGAATAGGAATAGGGTGATTGCAGAATTGAGCGCCAGAAGAAGAGTGGATCCTTGATGGAATCTCTAGGAAGAACTCTCAGAACAACATAAATCTTATCTAACAGGAATGGTACTACTGAGGTTTCATTAGATCTGAGGTCAGGGCATACACCATAGCTGTGATCCTGGAACTAGTAGGAATCAAGAAGTTGTTGCAGGGAAGCTGCTTCTTAACATCATAGATGCTAGAGAATGTATGCTGAAACACACCCTAAATGGGAAAACACCTTATGGTTTCATGATTTAGTTTACCAGCTGAAAAAGTGAAAAAGGGATAGGGGATCACTTCTGCTTTCCAAATCGTCAGCAAGTAATCTGATTGGCAGACCCTAAGTCATAATTGTGATCCCTGGGTATAAGGTAGCCTCAGAAGTGTAAGTTGTAACTCTTCAGCCTCGTTAGCTAAAAGATGGTGGAACAGAAACTGAGCACATTGATGATCCACAGTTTCTACTACAATTGTAGCTCAGACTTCAGAGAAGCACTCCTCAGCCCATCTTTTTTTTTTTAATGTTTTATTGTGAATTATGTGGTAGTTTACATGGGAGAACATTAGCTTTACATTCACCCTATTTTATATTGTTTCATTGCCATGGTTACAATCCTCTCCATGTATCATCAACCAACCAAAGGGTATACCCTGCAAGTCTGCCCTGTGGTCGACAGCACACAGCCCCTCTCCCTCTCTGGGTCTAGAGTTCCCAGCCACTCCATCTCTCCATGTCATCATCTCTGCCTCCATCTCTGGCATCACTGTTTTTCTGGGTAGGGTCCCCCATTCCCCTCTTCTCCTTTGATGGTCCCAGGGACCTCCGCTCCTGGACTGCAAAGTCAATCACTCCCCTTCTTTCCACTACAAAACATATACATTTACATTTCCGATCCTCACAGTCAGTCCTGATAGCAGTCATTCACCATTGTGCCACATGAGTGCTATCTGCATCTCCTTTCATCAGTCCCACCCAGACAGATTGGATACTACTCAGTGGAGATTCTACCTTCCTCTACACCCTCTAGATCTAGGCTCCCTCTTGAAAGCTTGTAAGTTAGTTACTTCTTGCATTTGTAGCCCTGCATTTTGGGTAGCCAGTGTCCAAGTTGCTCTTCCCTATCTACCCTGTGTATCGAGGGGGTGGGAATGATCCTCGCTGTAAAGATTTGTTCCCTCGTTTGAGCTACTGCATCCATAGGTGTAGGTCAAGTTTATCAAATTGTATCAGATTACTCTTTTTTTTTTCCCTCTTTTTTCTTCTTCTAGTTGAGTTCTAATCATCTAGCCATTGAAGCTAGGTCAAATGGGTTTTATCTGCAAGTGTGGGTATTTTTGGGCATATGCCCTGTCAGCCCCTCTTAATCCACAAGTCTCTGCCCTGTCTGTCTCAAGCAAGCTGGGTTCTTCCAGCATCAACTCTGCCTCATCCAGACCAGGGCTCAGTACACGTCTGCCAAATCCAGCGATGCCATCCCCTCTTATAATGGCTAACTGGAAGCTAATGTCACAGATTTCCTGGAGATTCTTTTTAAATGTTACCTTCTCAACAGCTGAAATGATAAACCTAGCTATAAAATTGCTTAATTTATAGAATAACCTTACATTTGGTTTTGAATAGTAAACAGAGTAAACAGTAAACAAGCCTGAGATGTGTAAGCTTCTTTACACTGAAAACTCCTCCATTGACTCATCTATTTATATTTTCCTTTACTTTTATGTTAATTTTTACTGATTTATTATGATCTCTCTCCCTGATGCATCAGTTTCATATACCAGAAGTTAAACAATCACTCTGACAAAAACTATATTTTAGTATAAGATTTTCATTTGTTGAAAACATAGTTTTTTCTTCTTTTACTATTACAGCAAGATTAGTATAACAAAAGGTTCTTTGTTTCCTGTTTCCTTTCAGCATAAAACAAAAACATACTGAAGACTTTTATTTATTTATTTTCAAACCAAAAGTACTTTTGATTTGGGAGGCTGAATATCCTTTTGTTAGCAACATGTTCACGTCATATATTTTAAAGGAAAAGCTCTAAAATTGATACTATCTATAGATTTTGGCATTGGTTCCCCATGTTTCTTATAATGGCTGCTGAAATATAAAATACCTGTTACATATATGCTTATGTGTGTGTTTTTGAGACAGCTGTTGAATTTAAACTATGTTTTAATTCATCATTTTGTGTTTGCAGCTTCCTTTTTAAAGATATATATTGTTTGCATAATTATGTTACCTAAAGATTTACGACTCATATTTTTAGCACAAAAAAGAAATTTCATCTACCAAAAGATCTATCTAAATATGTATGATCTAGGAAAACAATGTAAATATAATACATGAGTTATAAAATAAGGGAATAGTTATATGTGAATAATATGAAAAACTTTAGAAAGTGTTTCTTAAAATTTGCTAAAGGATTTTTCTATTGTACAAAAGTCAAGTTTTTTTGTAACATCAATAAGAATTATAAGAATTTCACTTTGGCTAAGTACTTATGAAAATTTAAAAAGCATTGTTACAAATTATTAAAATTTCTATCTTATAGGTTTTGTATACTTCTCTATGGAAAATTCATTGGATTCCCTTCAAAATGCCCCAGTTTGCAGGGGAACACTAACTTACTTTTTAAATGTCTAATTATAAATTATAGGCAGCACTGGTAGCGTAGTGGTTACGAATCGGGCTGCGAACCTTAAGGTCAGCGGTTCGAAACTACCAGCTGCTCCGCGGGAGAAAGATGAGGCTTTCTACTCCCGTAAAGATTTACACCCTCGGAAACCCTATACAGGGTCGCTATGGGTCGGAACCGACTCGATGGCACATAACAACAACAACAATTATAAATTATGTGATAGTTTACATGGGAGAACATTAATTTCACATTCATCCTATCATATATTGTTTCATTGCCATGGTTACAATCCCCTCCATGCATCATCAACTAACCAAAGGGCATATCTTACAAGCTTACCCTACCCCCCCAAAAAAAAACCCTTGTCGTCATCATACAGCTCCTCTCCCTCTCTGGGTCTAAAGTCCGCAGCTGCATCATCTCTCTACGTCATCATCTCTGCCTCCATCGCAGGCATCACTGCTTCTCTGGTAGGATCCCGCTCTCTGCTCTTCTCCCTTCGTGGTCCAGGGACCTCCACTCCTAGACTGCAAAGTTAATCACTCCCCTCCTTGCTGCAAAATGTCTACCTTTACATTTCTAACCCTCACAAGCAGTCCTGATAACAGTTATTCACTATTGTATCACAAGAGACCTATCCGCATCTCCTTCATCAGCCTGAACACCACCTTTTTTGAGACAAATTTTCGCTCTGTTTAGATTAGTATAGTCCTGTATAATTTTATGTGTATCCATTACTAGTGCTGGTAGCGTGGTGGTTACGAGTCGGGCTGCTAATCTTCACAATCAGCAGTTTGAAATTAACCAGCTGTCCCACAGGAGAAAGATGAGGTTTTCTGCTCTTGTAAAGATTTACAGCCCCGGAAACCCTACACAGCGTCACTATGAGTCGGAACTGACTCCTCAGTACATAACCACCGTCACCAAAGTAGACTTTACAATTTTCTTAAACACTGTTTTACAACAGTACAAAACAATTTAGAAATAAGGTAAATAGCTTTTTAATAAATGGTTGAGATAATAAACTCATTTAGTTGACATAGTATCACTTTGTCTATTCTTTAACTGTTCATTATTGTTGTTGTTAAGCATCATAGAGTCAGTTCCGACTCATAGCAACCCTGATTGGGTTTCTTCCAAGGAACAGCTAGTGGGTTTGAACTGCCAGCCTGTGGTTCGCAGTCCAGCATTAATCCTGCAGTGCCACACTAAAAGTGTTTATCAATTTGCTTTCTAGACATCTGGAGAGAAAGTGGGCAAACTGAGCTTGGTTGATTTAGCTGGCAGTGAAAGAGCAACAAAAACCGGAGCTGCAGGTGACAGGCTGAAAGAAGGGAGCAACATTAACAAGTAAGTTTTTCAGAAGCATTCTTTTATTAATTGATTTAATAATAAATTGGAAACGGTCTCATGTTTTAAAAATATTTAACAAGATTCTAGAAAAATAAAGTTTATGAGGAATAAATAGTTTCATATTTATTTTTTTTCTAGTATTTTTTTGGAGGCCCATTTTGGTTTGTTGAGGAATCTGATGGAGCTGTGGAGCAAAGTCAGTTCAAGTTTTCTCAATAGCCATGTTTTTGAGATTTAAGACAGATAATTCTTTGTCCTATTGGTGGGGGTTGAGGGAGATGAAGGGTAGGGGTGGCTCTCTTATACACTGTGGGATGTTTAAGTTTTAGAAACATCCTGGTATCTAGCCATTAGATGCCAATCAATAGTAGCCAGCACAACTGCCCCATCCAAGTTGTGAAAACCTAAAGTATCTCCAGACATTGCCACATGTTCCCTATGAGACACAATGCCCCTTCTGTTGAGAACTGGTCTAAGCTGTAAAAAGTAACAAAAATGATTCATCTGTCAGAGTCTAGCTGTTGATCTTGACTTGTGTGTGATTATTTGAACAAACAACATGCTTACAGCCCACATTGACTTGCCTGTTTTTCTTTAACTGCTAATCTATACCAAGAAACTAGAGTATTCTCTTTTGTTCACCAGTTTCTTCTTATGTTTATGTTTTCTCCCTCTGACTCAGTTGTTAGCTCTTTGTGGGTAGGAATCTTTGCTGTCCTCATGGCTTCCAGAAAGACACAAAACATGCCAATTTATAGATTATAAGATTATAGAACACTATCATCCAGCTACAATGCTACTGTTAAATAAATACATATGTGCATACACAAAGTACAAAGTGAAAACAAAACAAAAAAAAGCATACTCCTATATGTTGCTCTGTGCTTTTTTTTTGTTGCTTTGTATTGTTTTAATCCATTGTACTTCCTTTCTTAAAGATACATGGTCTGTTTGTATAGTTATCTTGACCTAAAGATTTACAGCTTATATTTTTATCTACAAAAAAATGGGGAAAAAAAACCTGAGCTAAGCAGTTTTATTGCTTAAAGTAGTATTAGCAAGATAACAGCTACTTGGTGTTTATGGTTTTAAATGGAGCAGTAAAATGCTGACAGCAGTGCTGCTCCTATGCAGGTACAAAGACATCTTGTTCAGTCTTTGTGCTGAAGTGGGATATTTGATATATTAACTGTTTTATGATGATTGTGGTTTGTTGTACCATGCAGGTCTCTCACAACTCTTGGTTTAGTTATCTCGGCCCTTGCAGATCAGGGTGCTGGCAAAAATAAGAATAAATTTGTTCCATATCGTGACTCTGTTCTCACCTGGCTGCTCAAAGTAAGTATATCTCCTCCATCCCCACCCCCATATTTTTAATGGTTGGTAAAAAAGGAAAAATAAAGGCTGTCATATCCTCCATCAGTGTCCAGATTTATAATCACTAGGTTATATGATGATAATCACAATCTTTGTGGATTAAGCAAAAGTTTCTTCCTGGTGATTAACATCCTGATTCATCAGAACCTGTAAGTAAAGGGGTTCTTGGGCACATTGAATCACAAAATTGCCTGTGGGTATTTTTGGAGCCTTGTTGTGGAGCTGTAGTATAAGCACTGGATTGGTAACCTCAAGGTCAGTAGTTCAAACCTACTAGCCACTCTTGGAAACCCTGTACAGGGTCACTATTTTAGGGACTAGCTAAAAAGACCTAAAGAGCTCTGGTAGTGTAGTGGTTATGAATCAGGCTGTGAACCTCAAGGTCAGCAGTTCAAAACTACCAGCTGTTCCATGGGACAAAGATGAGGTTTTCTGCCCCCGTAAAGATTTACAGCCTCAGAAACCCTGTACAGGGTTGCTGTGAGTCGGAACTGACTCCCTGGCACATAATAACAACAGCAAAAGGACCTAATATTAATCTGACAGCTGAGTCATAGGAAAGGAATTTACATTGTCTTGCAAACTAAGCTGGATTTTTCAACCCTTCTCACAGACTCCTTTTGTTTGACTGACATTTTGTATGTACCTTGTTTTCTATTCAACTTTAATGTTACTCGTGATATAATTTCAGTTTTGATTTGCTTTGAGCTTCATAAAGCTGTTGCCTAAAGATAGAGTTGAGCACATAGTCATTTGTCAATTAATTTATTCAGTATGAACAAGAGAAGTGAAATACTTTTTTTTTCTACTTTGAATCTTACCTCTGTCCTAAATGTCTGAAACCATACCTCCCTCTACTTTTCATAGTCCAATCAATCCATTCTCCACAGTAAGATTGCAACATCTTAAGCTTACATTTCTTCAGTACCTCGCTATTAGTTCTTAGGACAAAATCCAAATGATTTAGTGACTTGTGATGTACAAGCCCTTTTATTTTATTTTAGTTTTTTTATTGTGGCTCGGGTGAAGGTTTACAGAGCAGATCAGCTTTCCATTCAACAATTCATACACATTTTGTTTCTTCTCATTGTTTGCAATCCCCACAATGAAGCATCACTTATACCACTTCCTTCTTGTGTTTCCTGCTGTCATACCCTTTTGAACATTGCCCTTGGGTAAATGCTACCCTTTTTTATCTCAAATGGTTAGCTATTTTAAATCTAGTGCTGTTGTTCTCATTGTAGACATGTCTGTTGCTTAGCTGAAAATTGAGCCATGGGGGTGAGTTCATTTCCAAACTTGAAGGGTGACTAAGGGCCATAGGGTTCTACTAGTGTCTATCTGAACAATAGGATTTTTATGATTTTGGGTTTTAGTCCACATTTGTCTCCTCCTTTATCCAGGACCTTTCAATGTAGTGGTACCCAGGCACCATCTAGTCCTTCTGGTCTCAAGGTTGTGGAGACTGGTATTTGTGTGGTTCATTAGTCCATTGGACTAACTGTTTCTATGTGTCTTCAATTTTCATCACTCTTTCTTAGGGAGAAGGCCATTCACAGAGCTTTTAAGACCCTAGCTGCTACTTACTAAAGAAGAATGTAAACATTGTCTTTGTGGACCTCTTTATACCAGTTGACTTTGGTTTCCCCTGAGACTATAGTCCTGAACCCCCCAGACCCAGCAACTTATTCCCTCAGGGTGTTTGGTTATGTTTAAGATGTTTCCATAATTTTACCCCTTTATGCTCCACCACAGAATCCTATGTGACAGTAGGGTAAGTATTGGACTGCTAACCGCAAGGTCAGTGTTTCAAACCCTCCAGCCACTCCTCAAAACCCTGTACAGTGTCACTGTAAGTCAGAACTGACTCAATGATACTTAATAACAACAACAGCATCACATCCGTGATACTCACTGGTATATTTTCAGCAAAGGTAAATGTTGCTGTTGTCAAGTGCCATTGAGTTGCTTCTGACTCTTAGTGACCCTTGTTAGGGTTTCCTAGGAGCAGCTGGTGGGTTTGAACCACTGACCTTATGGTTAGTAGTCCAGTGTTTATCCTACAGCATCATACCAGGTAAATACCCATGTACATATATCCTCTGTCAAGCATATATATACTTGTGGATATTTTCCAACATCCGTTCAACCTGAGTGTCTATCCTTACATCTATGTGTAGATCACTGCTATTGCAAGAGAATGTGTATATACAGTATTTACCTCTGTTGTCCAACTCTTGCACTCACCCCTAATGTGATGGCTGAAATTGCAGTTGCCTTGATAGGGCCAGACCAAATGATTTCGCAGGCCCTATTGTGGCCCATGAACCAGCTGTTCCCCACCCCTGTTCTAAATAGAATAAAAGTAAAGTCCTAGATGTAATACGGCACTCATCACTTAGCTAGAATTTCTGATACTAGGAAGCAAAAATGAACAATGAGAAGTAAAGAAATATCAGATTAAAGGGGCTAATAGTGGTTGCATACAATATATTGTAAAAAGTTATGAAAAGGTTTTCACCCTAAAAGAAACAGTCTTTTATGGTTATCCTGGATACTTCCATCCCCTGCCTCCCATCGTTTTTCTAACCTCCCTCTTGCTATATATTGCCTTCCCTTTCACCCAAGCTAACAAGTGCTTTCTCTCTAGCCAATAACTTACCTTCTTCCCCCCCCACCCGTGATAACCATCAAAGAATGTTTCTTTTAGTATTGTAGTATTATAATTTCTTATTGACTCACTAGCATCTCCCATCAGATGGTAAACTCAATGAAGAGTTGAATAAATGAGTGAATAATTTCAGCTCTGCTTTGAACTAGCATTATGACCTTTGATAAGTCTGTCAGATTTCTTGAGTCATAGTTTCTTATCTGTAAAATGAAATAATTTGATTAGATGAAAGAGTTCTTTTAGTTTTAAAAGATTCTGACTTCCAAAATTAAATTTCTTTCCTATGTCCATTTAATTTGCAGTTTTGTTTGAATAAAATGTATTTAATTTGTTTAATTAAACAATTAAACAGTAAGCAAGAAGCTCTATATTTTCTCCTTGACTGAGTGCCAGTTCTTTTGTTGCCATTTCCTTTTTGTTAATGGCTTGAAGCCATTTTTTAATATTAGCATGTTGTTGTTCTATGAACAAGGGCTTTTAAAATATCAAGTATTTGTTGTTGGCCAGGTTTCCATTTCTTCTTTGGTAGTTGTTGTTACAAATCCCCTTTTACCCAATAGCATTTGCTGTTAATGTGGGCTAACAGAATGCTGTAGTTCTTTGAAGGGTAGCACTCCTCCATGGTGCCATTACTGAACATCGGTACAATCTGAGTTGATTTAATTCCTGAGATCTTTATAAATAACATTTGAATTTCATTAATGTGTGTGGGACTTTTCTTGACATTTTCCTGGATGTTGCCAAGGCCAGGGTACCAACAATGTGAGATCAGTTTCTGGAAGTAGCGAAATCAGCAATCATAAAAGCTGCACAGAAGTTGCTTTTGTTTGTTAAAGTCCAAATTAGTTATATTTCTTTCCTGTTTTATGTATTAAAGTATATTTTCTACAGATATAATTATGTTAGCTAGGAGACTTGGTGGCACAATGGTTAAGCAGTTGGCTACTAACGAAAACGTTGTAGGTTCCAACACACCAGCAGTTCCACAGGAGAAAAGACCTGGTGATCTGCTGTAAAGTTTGAAAAAGGAAAAATTTTAAAAAACCCTGCCATTGAGGCGACTCTGACTGACAGTGACCCTGTAGAATAGAGCTGAACTACTCCATAGGACTTCTGAGACTATAAATTTTTATGGGAATAGACAGCCTCATCTCTCATCTTTCTCCCTTGGAGCAGCTGGTGGGTTTGAACCACTGACCTTGGGGTTAACAGCACAATGTTTAAATCACGGTGCCACTAGGGCTCCTTCTTGTAAAGACTGATTCATTTATTGTTTGCTGTAAAGTGGGTTCCTACTCCTAGTGACCCTGCATAGGGTTTCTGAGACTGTAAATCTTTATGGGAGCAGACAGCCTCATCTTTTTCCCAGGGAGCAACTGGTGGGTTCGAACTACTGACCTTGAGGTTAGCAGCCCACTGTGTAACCCCACTATACCACTAGTACTCCTTTTTGTGAAGATTACAGCCTAGGAAACCCTATGAAGCAGTTTTACTGTGACATAGAGCTTATAGTTTGCTATGAATTAGGATCAACTCAATTGTATACAGCAGTGTTTTCTGTAGAAAGCCAAGATTCAGTAATGGATAAATTTGTGGACATACTGTGTCTGATTATACTAAACTGTTAGCAATACCTAGGGAGTTATTTTGTTTCTGTAACCTAGCACAAAATAATTTGGGAAAGTGTCAGGACACCTAACTTATAACTGAGGTCTGGACTTTCTCTGAGTTACCAAGTATGCTATTATGAAGGAGTGGAAATATATTGGACTTGAAGGCAGAACACCCTAGATTTAAATATTTTAACCCCATTTGTCAGAACAAACCTGTTATCTCATTGGAAAATAGATACTAATAATTCAGAAAGGCTGAGGACTAAATAAAGTATGTGTGCAAAGGTTGTATAAATCACTGATTGCTCCAACACGTTTTAGCTATATCCTGTACAGGAAGAATTTTGTAAAGGTTAGTGCTGTCCACCCCACACATCTGTCAGTTGATTGTGCTGTGGTGACTTGCAAGTTCCTATGATGCTGGAAGCTATGCCACTGGAGTTTCAAATACCAGCAGGGTCACATAGTGGACAGGTTTCAGCAGAGCTTCCAGATTAAGAACATACTAGAAAGAAGGAATAGGTGATTTATTTCTGAAGGATTCTCCCCTGAAAGCCTATGACCAACAGCAAAAAACTGATACAGTATCAGAAGATGAGCTATTACGGTTGGAAGGCACTCAAAATATGACTGGGGAAAACTCTTAAAGTAAGTCAAGCCAATGATGTGAATGGAGCAAAGCTTTCAGAACCTTCATTTGATGATGTTGGCACTACTCAAAATGAGAATAAACAAGTGCAAAGATCCATTACTAACTGGAAAGAAGAATGTATGAAGTATGAGTCTAAGAAAATTGGAAGTTGTCAAAAATGAAATGGAATGCATAAAGATCAACAATATCTTAGGCATTAGTGACCTGAAATGGGCTGCTGTTACAAAATTATCAGGCATCTTTTAGCATTTTGAAGCCTAAGGTATAATTATAATCTTATAAAACAAAAGATACATTGAAGATGCAAGTTTTACCAAGCTTTCAAAATATTCTAGTTACGACAAACTGAATTTAGGACCAAACCCCCCACACCCCACATTAATAGTTAGATGCCCTTTATCATTAGTAATATGAATGTAGTGATAATGGATATCATTAGTAATATGTACTGCATGCAATGCTGTACTACTTAATTTGCTGACATTGCCATTCTTGGACGCTCACTCACAGATACTCAGTTTTATGACTTACAGTTCTAAACACTGCCTTATAGATTTCATTTTCTAAACTAAATCAGGGGCTTTAGTTGCTTGAAAACATGGACCCAAATATTGATCACACTTTCTGTACCATTATTTAGTTTTCAGAGACTTTAAAAAGAAATCATAGGTAATCTCCCCTTGGTCAGATATTAAGTAATACTATGATTGTTCAGTTCCTCTTAGAAAGAATTTGTAAGTACTTAAGATATCCTTTTTTATTCTGAGTAGTCTACTGACTAATGGTATCATGTAGCCTATTAGAAGGGGAACAGGTTGACTTAGAATTAATGTTATGAAACTGAAATAAAAATAGGCTTAATTCCCACCCCCCCTTCTCAAAACTTCAGAGCACTTTTTTTTTTTTTTTAAAGAAAAGTAACTTGGCATAGAGGAAAGAGCACAGGACTGAGAGTCAGTGTACCACCCATTTTAGTCCTAGATTTGTCATTAAATATGATTTGAGTTTGGGAAGCTCTTATACCATTTCTGAGTTCAATTTTCTCATTTGAGGTTTCCTTGCAACTCTAAAATGCTACTTTATTTCCACCCCCCCACCCACCCATCTAGGACAGTCTTGGGGGTAACAGCAAGACAGCTATGGTAGCAACTGTGAGTCCTGCAGCTGATAACTATGATGAAACTCTTTCAACTCTGCGGTATGCCGATCGAGCCAAGAACATTGTTAACCATGCTGTGGTGAATGAGGACCCCAATGCACGCATTATCCGGGATCTTCGAGAAGAAGTAGAAAAACTCCGAGAGCAGCTAACCAAGGCAGAGGTATAAGAAACAGCTGGCAATGAATTATGATTCTGGAAAAATCCAGTAAAGCCTCTTCTTAGCCTTAGTGATAATGAGTACTCCTTGTAGGCTTTTTAAATTTCCTGTAGTAAGAGTAATTTGAGATGAGTAATAAATAAAGGGAGAGTCCTAGTATGGTGCTGTGGGTTAACAAAGTTGGTTTGAACCACAAGGTCGGCGGTTCAAGCTCACCAGCTGCTCCTTGGAAACTCTCTACAGGGTTGCTATGGGTCAGAGCCGACTTGATAGCACTTCATAGTAATAATAAATAAAGGGAGGTAGATGAGCTGTCATAATTGAAATTTAGGGAGTTTTACAGGTGTTAAAGGAAAGATGAAAGAGAATGGAGAGAATATTTTAGTCCACAATATAGGAAACAGGCAAGAGAGAAGAGGTTTAAGAAGGGAGAGAAGCTTGAAACAAAGTGTATATAATTTTATTTTAGTACAGAAAATAGAGGATACTGGGCATGGAATAATTGGAACAGGAATCAAACAGGTTTGTGCTTTATTTCTAATTTCTTAATTTATAGACATCACAAAGGAAATCTTCAAGGAGTTAGCTGTAGTTAAGTACCATGGAGTCGATTCTGACTCATAGTGACCCTGCACAGGGTTTCTGAGGCGGTAAATCTTTACCGGAGCAGAAAGCCTCATCTTTCTCCTGCGGAACGGCTTAGTAGTTTTGAACTGCTGACCTTGAGGTTAGCAGCCCGATTCATAACTACTACGCTACCAGAGGTCTTACCTAAAAATCCAAACCCACTGCCACTGAGTTGATTTAAACTCATTTGTTGTTGTTAGGTGCCACTGAGTCGGTTCTGACTCATAGCGATCTTAAAACGTTCAACAGAATGAAACACTGCCCAATCCTGGGCTATCCTCACAATTATTGCTATGCTTAAGCCTATTGATACTGCCACTGTGCCAGTTCATCTCGTTGGGGGTCTCCCTCTTTTTTGCTGATTGCCCATTTTACCAAGCATGGTGCCTTCTTCAGAGACTGTTCCTTCCTGATAATATGTCTGAAGTATGAGAGATGAAGTCTGGCCATATTGGCTTAAGGAGCATTCTTTCTGATTGTACTTTTTCCAACACAAATTTGTTTGTTCTTCTGGCATTCCATGATACCTTTAGTATTGTTCTCCAACACCATAAATCAAATAAATAAATTCTTCTATGGTTTCCTTTACTCATTGTCCAGCTTTCACATGCATATGAGGCTATCAAAAATACCATGACTTGGATAAGGTGCAGGTCAGTACTCAAACTGACATCTTTGCTCTTGAATACTTTAAGAGAGGTCTTTTGCATCAGATCTGCCCAATGGAATACATCGTTTGATTTCTTGACTACTGCTCCCATGAGTATTGGTGGTTGATCGAAACAAAACAAAGTCTTTGTCAACTTCAATCTTTTCTCCATTTATCATGATGTTATTTATTGCTCCATTGGTGAGAATTTTTGTTTTCTTTACATTGAGTGCAACCCATATATAAGACTGTGGTCTTTGATCATCAGTAAATATTTTAAATCTTCTTTGTTTTCAGCAAGCAAGATTGTATCATCTGCATATTGCAAGTTGTTAATGAATCTTCCTTCAAACCTGATGTCACATTCTTCAGATTATTTGCTCAGCATACAGACTGAATAAGTATGGTGAAAGAATACAACCTTGGGTCACAACTTGCCTGATTTTAAACCAGTTCTAACAAATGCCTCTTGGTCTATGTATAGGTTCCTCATGAGTTCAGTTAAGTGTTCTGGAATACTCGTTCTCTGCAATGTTGTCCATAGCTTGTCATGATGCACACACTCGAAAGCCCTTTCCTAGTCAATAAAGCACAAGTATACCAAAGTTTGTTTATCCATTCTTCAGTTGATGGGATCTTAGGCTATCTCCATCTTTTTGCTATTGTGACTAGTGCTGCTCTGAACATGATGTGCATATATCTACTCGTGTTATGGCTCATATTTCTTGTGGGTAACTACCAAGTAGAGGAATTGCTGTATCATAAGAAAATATCTTTCTGGTATTTTCTACTTTCAGCCAAGATCCATCTAATCTCAGCAGTGATATTCCTCGTTCCACATCCTCATCTGAATCCAGCATGAACCTCTGTCATTCCCTGTCAGTGTACTATTACAGCCATTTTAAAATTATCTTTAGAAAAATTTTACTTGCATGTGGTATTAATGATTGTTTGATGATTTCTGCATTCTGCTAAGTCACCTCTCCCTGGAATGGGCACATATATGGATCTCTTCCAATCAATTGGCCAGGTAGCTGTCCTCCAAATTTCTTGGCATAATTGAGTGAGTGCCTCACGTGTTGCCTCAGTTTTGAAAGATTTCAATTTGTATTTGATCAGTTCCCAAAGGATTGTTCTTTGACAATGCCTTCAGTGCACGAGATGCCTTTCTTCAGTACCAGTTTCTCTTGATCATACTGTACTTCTTGAAATGGTTGAACATCAACTATTTCCTTTTGTTAGTGATTCTGTGTATGCCTTCTATCTTCTTTTGATGCTTTCTGCACCATTCAATATTTTGCCTAAAGAATCCTTCAGTATTTCAAGTCAAGGCGTGAATTTTTTTTTCAGTTCCCTTAGCTTGAGAAATGCTATGTGTATTCTTCCCTTTTGGTTCCTTAACTCCAGATCTTTGCACATTTCATTATAATATTTGGCTTTGTCTTCTCAAGCTGCCCTTTGAAATTTTCTGTTCAGTTCTTTTACCTCCTCATTTCTTTCATGTGCTTTAGCATCTTCTAAACTGGAGAGCAAGTTTCAGAGTCTTTTCAGACATCCATTTTGGTCTTTTCCTTTTTTTTTTTTTTTTTTAAGGTTTTTAATGTGGATTGAGTGAAAGTTTACAGGGCAGATCATCAGCTTCACATTTAGAAAATCATACACCTTGTTTCATTACAAAGATTGTAATCCCCTCCATGTACCATCAGTTAACAGTATTTCTCTCTATTCACTTTAGCTCTTTTTTTTTTTTTTAAACACTCAGGCATATATAATTATTTATACCACCAAAGGGCACATTCTACAAGTCTGCCTCCTGGCTGCCATCTCTTAGTCCCTCTCTTCTCATGAATCTAAAGTCCTCAGCCAATCCCTCTTACCATGTCCCCATCTCTGTCTCCACCTCTGATGTCACTGCTTATCTGAATAAGGTCTCACATTCCTCTTGTGCTCTTCTCCCTTGGCCATCCTAGGGTCCTCTGTTTCTGGACTATAAGATTAACTACTCCCCTGTTTTTGTTACAAAACTTTTACCTTTACAGTTGTGACAGTTGTAATTAGTCACGATAACATTTACTCCCTATTGAATCATAAGAATCTTCTCCCCATCTCTTTTTACCAGACCCATCTAGACAAGATGGAAACTATTCAGCAGGGACACTTTCTTCCCCCACAAACTCTTAAACTAAACTCCCTTGAAACCTTGTTGTAAGCCAGTCACTTCATGCCTTTATCGCCCCATCTTTTCTTGTCTTCTTAATGACCTTTTGCTTTCTTCCAGTTTGGTAAGATCAATATCACCCACAACTCTTGGTTTTTGGTCATTGATGTCTAATGCATCAAATCTGTTCTTCAGATGGTCTCTAAATTCAGGTGGCATATGTTTAAGGTCATGTTTTTGCTCTCATGGACTTGTTTTAATTTTCCTCAGCTTCAGTCTGAACTTGCATATGAGCAATTGATAGTTTGTACCACATTCTACCCCTATCCTTGTTTTGGCTGATGATACAGAGCTTTTACACCTTACCTTTCCACAGATGCAGTTAATTTAATTTCTGTGTATTTCATCTGGTGAAGTCCATGAATATAGTCATCTCTTTTTATGTTGTTTAAAAAGGTGTTTGCAATGAAGAAGTCATTGTTCTTGTAAAACTCTATAAAGAGTTCTCCAGCATCATTTCTATCACCAGTGCCATATTTTCCAGCTATCCACCCTTCCTTTTTGGTTTCCATTGTTAGCATTCCAATCACCATTAATCATAAATACATTTTTTTAAAAGTTTTTATTGTGAATTATGTGATTGTTTACATGGGAGAACATAGGCTTTACATTCATCCTATCTTATTTCATTTCATTGCAATGATTACAATTCCCTGCAAACAGCCTGTCCCATGGCTGTCAACACACAAACACTGTTACTCCCAAAGTCCAGAGTCTCCAGTTGTTCCATCTCTCTATGTCATTGTCTCTGCCTCCATCTCTAGTGTTGCTGCTTCTCTGGATAGGGTCCCGCACTCTGCTCTTCCTTTTGTTACAAAATGTCTACCTTTACATTTGCAACACTCACAATCAGTCCTGATAACAATTATTCACTACTGAACCACAAGAGTCTTATCCCTATCTCCTTTCACCAGCCCCATCCAGACAAGTTGGAAACCATTCAGTGAAGATTCTATCTTCCCCCGTACCCTCTGAAACTAGGCGCCCTCTTGAAAGCTTGTAAACCACTCAGTTTCTTGCCTTTGTAGCCCATCCATTTTGGTTGGCCTATGTCTTGAGTTATCCGTCCCTGTCAACCCTTTGTACCAGGGAGGTGGGAATGATCCTCGCTGTCAAGATTTATTCCTTTTTTTTTAAACTACTACATCCACAAGCATAGGTCAACTTCATCAAATTTTAGAGAATTACTCTTATTTTCCTCTTCTTTCTTCCTCTAGTTGAGTTCTGGTCATCCAGAAGTTGGAAGCCAGGTCAAATGGCTACTATCTGCAAGTTTGGGTGTACTTGTGCATCTCCCCTCACTTCATATCAGCCAGACCCTTTACTCTGCTCTAGTCCTCTGTGGCCATGTCCCTGTCCCTGGGCCCAGGAGTTTCCAGGTCTTGTCATACTGCTGGTCAACCAACCATGTCTGAACCCAGGATGACAAGAGTCTGTTGAACATAGTAAGATTTAGCTCACAACTTCATAGCTGTTTTCCCTCACTTCCCCTTATCAGTGACCAGTGTG